CTCCCTCCAGCAAAATATCTTCTCTATACTTTTCCTTTTCATTCAAGCTCGGTTTTTGCCAGTGACAGACAGCTTTAACACACTTTTCTGCGTCTTCGAGCTGCTGCATCTGCTCCACGGCCGTCTCTCTCCTCCCACTGGAGCTGTCGTACTTCATAAAGTTTGTGCCCTGGGACGACCACTTAACCCTTTATTGCACCTGCCCAGTGTCCCCGTGGCTGCTGCTCTGCTTGTCTTGTGGTCCATTTTATTCCCTGCTCACACACTAACTGCCACTCTTCTACCAGGGCTTCAGATCATCAACTCCAGGTTTGCTGTTGCAGTCTTACCCTGGAGCTCCTCTGTTTATTTAATTTAATTAGATGCAGAATGATTTTCCAATGCCACTCATAGTCCTGAAGTAGAGCTAGAGTATCTTCATAGTGATGCTGAAACCTGCACGAAGGGATACTTACCCTGGTCAATGAAACTTTAGCAAATCCCCCAACATCTCATTCATCTGCAGGAGTGCCATCCAAGCCCACAGCAGCAGCAGCAGCAGCAGCAGCAGACAAACAGCAAAGTGGCACAAGTGCTGGCTGAGAACAGAGTCTCTTGCCTCTTTCACCTCCCCTCACCCAGACAATCAATCTCTTCTGACCTCTTGCTCACTCCATTCCAGCCTGGAGAACAGGATCCCAGAGGATCATCTTGAGGCACTGCTGAGCATCTTTAAGAGGTTGTAGACGACATGTGGGTGACCAGAGCCAGAGACGGACGAGAGCGTTTTGCCTCCTTCCACTACACACCAGGGTAGGTGCAGCTTGCTGCCGACAGTTTACCAGCATCCACAGCACCTCAGCAGCTAGGACGATTGAAACTGGTCCAGTGAGGACTGGAAAATGGAGAGATTTCACTCTTGACTCCAGTAACATCGCATTACCTGGTATCCAATATTTAAAAACAGACCATGATTTGATTAATAAATGGAAACCAGCGGTGGTGTGGGGTGAAAAGAGCAGGTCCATGAGGATCCTGTTCACCTATTTACCTTCATACAGCAGCTGTTTGACAAAAGGAGGTGATGACTACAGTTGGAGAAGAGGTCATGGTCTCTGTTTCACACTGTGTGAAAGATCCCATTTTAAATTCACTCGCCCCATGTCTCCTCCATTATTTGCCCCTACAAGTTATTCTTGTCTTCGATGGGTGTCAGAGGTACAAAGTAAGCTGAGCTAGGATAGTCTTTCCAACATAGTAACATCTGTCCAAGGCGTTTCCCTGCCCAACATCCAGCAAATGCCATATGCTTTGTCTTGTCAGAGACAAAGAAAAGAATTAAAAACTCACTCATCACTGTGAAGATGATTCACTGTGGTAAAGCTTCTGTTGAATCAAACACAACGTTGGATTTGAATGTGGTGGAAAGAGCGCGTTGTTGTTGCAGATGGTAGGAGCTGGACATGAAATAGTATTTATGTGATGGTTTACCACTGGATTCATGTTGAATGTAATGGCAGCACCAATAAAGAAAAGAAGGATTTTTATGCTGATAAATTCATTCACAGTCGGTCTAAATGAGCACTATTCTATTCATATACTGTCTATAGTGCAGTGAAGTCAAGATTTTAAATTAGTATTATATATATAACTATTATATTATTATGACATACAGGATAATAAAATCAGTCAGTCACACAGGCCTGGTGTTACCAGTCCCAGGTGTGTTGGCATGAATGATCAAATGTTTTCTTTTAAAAACTTGTTTAAAAAGTTTATAATTTGCGCAAAACAATATTCTTTGTTATTATTTTTCTTTATTCTTTGTTTTTTTCATCTTTATAAAATGTGACATACCAAACAAAATGAAAAAGGAAACCTCAAATTCAAGCCATCTTTGCTTTTTTTCAAATAATGCCAGGCTATGTTCCAACAAAAAAAATATTTGTAATTTTTGTTTCCACAGATACCTGAAACATTGTGTACCCATTTAATGGGAACAAAGAGTGAAGGAGCCCTTTGGCCGCTGAGTTAATGGGAAGCACATTGCTCTTTTGGAGATTTGGAAACCTTCTCAAAAACGAACCAAACAACAGAGTGGGTGGTGAAATTACATTATATTATAACCTCTCTCTATAAACCTTCTTTGTACAGTATATTCGAGTTAAGACAGATCTGGTCAGAGCACCACTCTCGTACTTCAGTTTACACACATGATTTGGAGCTGAGCCCCGGCACATAATTCAGCTTTATTCTAATCCACATTTTCAATGTCAAAGAGATATTGTGTCATCATTTTAATTGTCTACTCCGCACACTTGTCACAAGTGGTTTACTGCACAGAGCACCTGTATGTACATGAGTGCTCTCAAAAAAAAATCTCTCTCTAGTGAGTGAGTGTAGCCTGAAATAATAATCCAGTTCAACAAGATGTTCTACAGCTTTGTGGGAGGCGAGGCTCTAGATTTCCCCCAGTGGTTATCAGGAACCAAAGTAAATGCTTTTAGTTTAACCTCAAAACATGCTCATTGAGGATTTGTATATAGTATTTATAACATAAACAGTCAACTCTACACTCACAGCTCCCGTGTATTACAAATCTCAGTTTCACCCCTGAATACAATGATAGATTCGTAATATATAGAAGGGGCAGCAGGAAGCCCTGTCTAATCCCTCTCTGGGGAATGAGGAGGACTGAGTATGTGTTTCCTCGGTGAACCAAAGGCACATCTTAAGTTGATGCCAAACACACTGTAAGTCCAAAAATGTGTGGACACCTGAGCTCATATGTTTGTTGAAAATCACAAGTATTAATCTGCTGCTACAGCAGCTTCCAGTCTTGTGATTTTCCACAAGATTTCAGAAGCAGGCTGCTGGGGTCTGTTCCCATTCACACCCAAGAGCATGAGTGAGATCGGCCGCTGCGACCTGGCTCACAGTCGGTTTTGCAGTTCGTCCCAAAGGTGTTGGACGGAGTTTAGACCGGGGTTTTTGTGAAGCTCTTCCACAACAAACTTGAAAAACCATTTTCATGCTGACACAAGAAGAGGTTTTCCCAAATTGTTTCCATGAAGTTGGAAACACACTATTGTCTAAAATATCATCATCACATATTGTGTACTATATTAATAATCCTTTTTTCACAGCAGATGTTTTGACTTGTCATGGTAGGAAAGCCACAGGTGTTACTATTTAATATTTTAATATTAACAATAACTCTGTTGTATTCAAGTGACCCAGTAAGCCGTGACAGTGTGACAGTGAGTCTGCACGCACACCACCAGGACACTGAAACTGAAGCAGCTGAATGTAATCCAGCCATCATTCATTTTATTATTTACACCTGTGCTTTTGCTACCACGACACATCAAAATGTCTTCTAGTCCCAGGAGTGTCCACATACTTTTGGCTATGCTGTGTAAACTTCAGCCAAAAACCATAAATTTTAGGAAAAAAAAAAAAGAATTAGATTCCCAGTTTGAGGCATATTTGCCTGTGAGTTTGGACGTTGCTACACGGACACTCAGCCAGGACAAACAGTTTGCCACCAACCCACTTTCCAGTAGCTACCAAGTTAAAATGAATTCATACTAATTAAAACGAGTTGTGTTTTTGGCTCATCGCTTCTTCAACCTTCCCTCTCTATCTCACTCATAAACCCTTATCTTCCACTCCTAATGGTGCCTGGTTGGACACACAGGCAAGTTATTCTGCTGTTTCTCATGCTGGCTCACTGTCACACCGCCAGGACGTATGGGACACTTGTTAATGTTATCACTCACACCTTTGTTTTTCCTACTGAAACAAGTCAAAATGTCTACTGCAAAAAGATTTTTAAAAAAAAGAAAGAAAAAAGACAATAAAAACTGATTTGTCAAATGTAAATCATAAAAATGTGGCCTTACAGCCCCTTTGAGTGTAATTTTATTTGAAAATGTGCTGTGGTCCATGTGGTCCTTTTAGCCAATTTATTCCTTAAATACCACTATGCGGTTTAGAGTCTCTAAATGCCACTGACCCACCAATGGATCAGTCATTACAAACTCAAGCTGTGAAGTTAAATATAGTTCAAACCCACAGGACTTTATTTAAAATTCTAGTGGTGAAGTTTCCAAAGACATCTATTACAGTATGTCAAGCAGAATTTTTATGGAATTGAGTTTTGTTTTTTTTTTTAAATGCACCAGACAACTAGAATGTTTCCATTTGATAAACATGGAGTTTTGGATTTTAATATTTCAGTGTAGAAATCGGATAGTTTCCATGAAAGAGTTTGGAACCGATGAAGCGTTGGAAGAAGCTGATACAGGAAACTATATATGATACCGTCAGACAACGTTAAGTGAGATTATTTTTCCAAAACAAAATGCAATTTAAGGGTAAATAAATAAAAAGAAGGGAAAGAGAGGTTTCCTCTATTCACAGTTATGTCCTCACTTACAGTAGACAGAAACTTCTCACATGGGAAAGATTGGAGAAAAATCCCATAGCATTTAAATATTTCATTCCAAAGTAAAATTTTAATTTTAAATGGTCTGTGGTTGTATCCTGGATATCTCCCTTTCATGGATCCATTTAATCTGGTCGTTATACTATTCTTATAACTATTCAGGTAAAGGAAATACACTGCATGTGTCGATCATACCATCTTCATCTTTTTTAATGTTTTTTTATTGTGAAAAAGAGACCACAGGCTGAGATTACTGCAGCTCCCAGAGAAGAAGCACACACTCACTACATTAGACACTAGGGCCTGAACACTAACAAATAGTCTAGATGTTGTAGAAATTATGAATGAAATGCTGTTACTGCCACCTACTGGAGCACAGTGCAGCTTCCCTTTTCTAATGTTATGCTTCAGAAAGCAGAAAACATTGAACCATACCAGAGCACTTTGAGTATTTGGACTTTATTCTGTAAGAAAAAATTGGCCGTAATTTGTTTTGTTTTTTTTTTTACAAAAAAAAAAAAAAAAAACTTTAGGGTACTCCCACAGTTTATTTACACATAATTTACTGCAGCTAGTGTTTTTGTACTCAAGGCTTCATCAGGTCCATGCACATTTAACAACATAATTCACAACTAATGGTAGAAAACAGACATTACATTCTTTGTTTGCACCTATTTTATATAATTAAATCATAGATAACTAATACATAATAACAACAGATCTAATCTACTGGACGAGTGTGTTTTCAATGTCCAGCTACAGAGTGTCATACAGGCATATTTTCCCTCTTGTGAACACTTCGCATGTGTCTGCCAAGAGACTCCATCCATTTAAAGGATTTACCACAGTAATTACACACAAAGTGTTTCCCCTCGGTGTGGATGGTCTGGTGTCTGTTCAGAGCGCTCGTTGTGATAAAAGTCTTTCTGCATATTTCACATCTGTATGGCCTCTCCCCCGTGTGTGTCCTGATGTGAGCTGCGAGGTGGGAGCAGTTACTGAAACGCTTCTCGCAAACAGAGCAGCTGTAGGGTTTTTCTTTACTGTCCTCGCTGCTGCTGTTGCTGTTGTTGTTGTGGAAGGGGTGGAAGGGTAATGTGGTGTCCTGCAGACCGGTTTTAAGACTTGAAGGAGATGAGATGAAGTCTTTGATGTCTGACTCAAGGCTGTCCAGTTGCTCCGCGTCGTGACCCATCCAGAAATCCCTGTGGCTCTTCTGCTGCTCCTTCTTGATCTGTGAGGGCTCCGGGTGCTCCTGCTCCATGCTGCTGCCCTCATCCTCCTCACAGTGCTGGGACTCGGGAGCCTCCACAGCAGGGACTGACTGGTGGTGCTGCTGCTGCTGATGATGATGAGGAGGAGGAGGAGGAGGATGGTGATGGTGGTGGTGATGGGTGTGCTGCTGCAGCTGGGCTCCAAGACATCTATCTGCCCGAGGGTCTGAGCAAAAAGACACACAGAGCAAAATCACAATCGTGTCATTGAACTAAGAATGAATGTAAAAGTGAATGAGGTTTGGCTGCAGTGAGATTCAAACCAACCTGACTTGAGGAGCTTCAGCTGCATCCTGAGACGACTGATTTCTAAATCTTTGGAGCGACAGATCTCCTCTTTGTACTCGGCTATCGTCTTTTCAACAGCTCCAAATATCTCCTCCGCTGCCGCCGTCAGCCTCTCGCTGAGAAAAGCCTTCAGTGACAGCATTTTGGACATCTGTACAGGAAATGAACAGCTTTTAGTTGCGCTTGGAGGCGTATTAGTGCGAGTCCCTGAACGTCACGCTTCGCTTGTAAACACGGACATGAGACCGAGCCACGCAAAGTGTTCAATGTGGGGAACTACCGCCCCCTGCAGGACCGGGGGGCAAAGGTCAGAGCCCAGATCTTCTCCAGGCTGCAGAGGGAGGCGGACACAATTACAGGGAACATCAGAGCCGGACTCAGTGGCCACTTTATACAACTGTACAGTCTAATGAAATCAGAAACAACCGAGATGTTAATGATGTTTTTTTTTAACACTGTCATAAAGTTAATTTACTTTCGCACTGAGGTCATAGTGATGGTGTTTATCCAGAGGTGTACCTAATGAAGTGGCCGCTGAGTGTATAATGCAGTCTGCAGTACAGTACATCAACGCAGTACTTGTTGACCATACAAAAACTACAACATTATAAGCTTTAACAAGATTGCATTTACTCAAAATGAATGAGGTTCCCCAAGTGAAAAGTTGCTACTTTAAAAGGGAAATGACAATTTCATTTATGATACTTACCAACAAATCTAAGTTCATCTACTGAGAAAAATATTTGTTTGATACTTAGGGGTAAAAACACAATCAATGCTTTTATTAATTACAAAATTTTTTGGCAATACAAGGCATGAAAAGCACTACTAATAGCTGAAATGGTGAAGGCCTAAGGGTGACTCATGCATTTTTCTTAATCTTGTCTCTCCCTGTAGAGAGCAAACCAGGGACAGAATAATATTCCTCAGCAGGAGTAGTGGATGGTTACAAGTAAGGAAGTAAGGAAGCTCAATAGGAGTGGACAAGCCTTTCTTGTCCTCTGACCTTTTAGCCCACTCTGCCTGAAAATCCTGGTGTCGCATAACTGATTAATGCTGTTACTATATGCATGTGTATGTGCATATGTAAATGCATCTATATATATATATATGTGTGTGTGTGTGTGTGTGTTTGCTGTTATTCTACTGAAACTTTTAAGAGGAAAAGTTTTTTTTTTTAAATTAAGAAAAACACTCTTGCCTTTGTCTTGACATTGATATGTAAGAAGTGACTTCAGAGCGATGTGGATTTGCTTCCTGGCTTGTGCAGCGAGTCTAGTAAAGTGGAAGTGTCGTGTGAGGGAGAGAGAACTATTAAGCAGCTGGACGGCAAGTGCTCTTCACACTGCATTTAGACTTAATAAGAGACCTGAAGTGGGAACAAAGCACGAGATGTGGTGATTAAAATTCTCAGTGAGCTTTGGGTTTTATTTTACAGTCTGATGGACATTACCTGTGTCTGTACAGGGGCATATAATTTGCCCAATACATGAATCTTTGACTGCTTCGTGTCTGTTCTGGTTCAGTGCCGGGATAAAAATAGCAGCGAAATGCTTCTCTGCATGGCATTGTCTTAACAGGAGTCCACTCTTGTAATGAGATATCCTCTCTCTGCCATCCTGAGAATACCACTGGGATTACTGTTGTGTGTGTGTGTGTGTAGGAATACACAGTAGCCTGAAGAGCAGGTTATGAATCCGACTGGTATATTCAAGCATGTGTCGTGTAAAATGTAATTTCAGGGTTTCATGGGAAAGTCATAGGATAGATGACATCGGGGCAAAAGAAAAACAAGAGACAACGACACACTGAAACAGTCTCTAAACCGTTTATTATAATGTTTCCTTACAGCCATCCCACCCTTAAACCCATCGGCCATGACACAATATGGATTACATGTAATGGACACCTCCCTCTTGGTGAAACAGCCAATGAGAGAGCGGATCATGCACGTCTACAGGGAGGTAAAAGCCACAGAAGAACATCATAATTACACAAAAGAGACACCAATATTAAAAAGACAAATAAATCTGATTGACAAGAGCTGTGACACCGTTTACACAAAGAAGTTGGTAAACTATTCAAGTAAAGGCGTGGACTGCTTGTCCACCTCAAGGTGTAACTGTCAGTCTTTACAGCTTGAGCACTTGGTGTGGAAGTTAGTATGCACACAGACTTTTCTCAGTGGATTTAACTCTTTTCAGTGCAGGACAGTGCATGTGTCAACCTGTCCCTTTTCTTTAAGACAAAATATACCCAAAAAAGATAAAGGAAAAGGAGGGAATGACATCATTACACAAAATACTTTGAATAAAGAGGGGAAGATGGCTAAGTGCTGAGAGTGAGGGATGATGGAACTGGATCATCTGAATGGAGCTGGCCTCTAATCTGGACGTGGTGACAGTGCAGCTGCGTGGGTTTTTTTTTTTAAATTTTCTTTTTTTATGCCTTGGCGTTGATGATCTCGATAAACTCTGGCTTGAGGGAGGCTCCACCAACGAGGAAACCGTCAACGTCCTTCTGGGAGGCAAGTTCTTTGCAGGTACCACCGGTCACAGAACCTGAGAAGAAGAAGAAGAAGAAGAAGAAGAGCGCAGACCCATGAGAAGAGACGGACGTGGGAAATCAAAACGAGAATAGGATTTTTTTTTTTTTTTTTTTTTTTTTTTTTTTTTTAAATCTCGTCACAGTGACTGACCTCCGTAGATGATCCTCACAGAATTGGCAACAGCCTCAGATACATGGGTCTTCAGCCATCCCCTCAGTTTGTCATGAACCTCCTGAGCCTGAGATGTCACAAGAACCAGACGCATTATGATGGGTTATGTAAGAGACTGTAGTAATCATAAAATCAGGAAATATTCAGTGGTTTCTAATATTTACCTGCTGTGGGGAGGCAGTCTTGCCGGTGCCAATGGCCCACACAGGCTCATAAGCAAGCACAACCTTGCTCCAGTCCTTTACATTGTCTGTGAAAGAGACGTGTGATAAGACTTGAATTTGTATTTCGCAAGTTTTTCTGATTTCCACTCTCTGGCTCGCACAAACTTCCCCCTGAAATATGTGTCGCAATATTTAGACTGAGCATATAAACCTCTGCGATGGGATTGTGTGGAGCGGCGTACCTGCGATGACCTTGGTCTGAGCAAAGACGACCTTCTCTGTGATGCCGCCCTCTCTCTCGTCCAGCTTCTCGCCGATGCAGGCGATCACACCGAGACCATTCTCCAGAGCGTGGGCTGTCTTCTGGCCAATGAGCTGACACAACACAGGATGCAGTGATGTTTTTTTTTTTTCTGTCCATCTTACTCATTAAAAAGGATGGCTTACCTTTCAGCACTCAGTGTCGCTACAGACAGTGATAAAGCTATGGGATGAAAACCCCCCAGGATTACCTCATCGCTCTCTCCGAAGACGTGGCGCCTCTCAGAGTGGCCCAGGATCACCCAGTGCACACCACAGTCTTTGATCATCGCAGGGCTGAAACAAATAATATTCATAGAATAATTACAAAAATGATCAAATCTGCTCCATTTAAAAAAAACAAAACAAGAATTTGTATTTGTGATCTGACTGAAGAAGAGAATTTTTCAAGTGACCATGGAGCTATTTCTCTGCATTTCAGCCATCTGCATGATTAAGTTGTTTTCATGTATTCGTGTTTATTCGCTCACTATCTATCAAACCTTTGTCATTTTCCACTGATGGAGGCAAAGCGTACCTGATCTCCCCAGTGAAGGCACCCTTGGGAACTTTGTAGCAGTTCTGAGCAGCCACACCGAACTTGGCATCCAGCTTGGACCTGGCAAAGTCCAGGTAGATTGATGGAGCGCCGCACACCACCTCTGTTAAGACAGAACAAAACGAGGCTTAGGTTACATTTTATAAAAGACATTTTTGACCAGCTTCCTTAAAGTTAATGGTGTGATAATTTGAAACCTACTTTTGGTACATCAGAAGATATTAACTGGACGTATAGAATAAACTCAGAGAAACTGTGTCACTTACAATGTAGGTGAGATGGCTTATATTAATACGCATTTGTTCTTCATTTCAAATAATTGTATCACTTCACAGTGTACGTCGCTGTGAAGCCTTACTGCCATTCATTTCAAACTGATTTACCCCAATGTGCAACAATTAAGTTAAGTTAGTTATTAGTGTTTTTGGATTCTTCACATCAGTAAGACTTGTTGCAGCAGCACTGAAATCAAACACAAGCACCAGATTTGTACTGCCCCACTCAAAAAATATTATTAAGAAAACTCACTAAACCATGTTTGCCCATTTTAGCAAAGTCAACAGCAGGACAGTCTGCATGAGCAGAGTACAGTAAAGCTAGGACACTGACATTCACAATGTAACTATATCTTTGGGGTTACAGGAGTCTATATTAAACACCTCTCCTTATCATTGGTTGAGTAAAGGTCATTTCTCCACTGTCACTGTACTCAGACCTCTCTACATTAAAGGTCTGAGTTCAGCCTCCAAAAGGTCGCACACATGGCTGCATTCTGCAGAAGTCAAGGAAAAGTCATGAGCCGGAGTTCAAAAGGTCAAATAAAAGAGTTTAAATATCCTTCATGTGAAGAAAATCAGTCTGAGAGAGGAACCAGCTGAACTTTGACTTTAAAACTCAGAAGAGAGGCCAATGGGAAAACAGTGCTTGGGTTTCAGTCTGGCTCTGTAAGGGGGGGCCGACTCATTAATGGAGCAAGGTCCAAGGAGAGGCTGGACAGAATGACAGTTTGCTCCTGTGCAGATCAGGCCTGTGAGAGACATACACAACATTACAGTTACATAACTCCAGTTTGCAGGAGAAGCACAACTGGCCTGTTGACAGCGGAAACAGGCCCAGACACACGCAGCGTCTCCCCGCTGTGTGTTCAGAGTATCACGCACTGAACAAATAGAGTAGCGTCTTAAAACAGCAGCAACAGCGGCGGCATCTTGTGTATAGTTTGTCTCCAGCCAGCAGGAAGCAGACAGCAACAGGCCAAATGTCTACTGTTGCGTTCAGGACGCGTTGCATAAATTGTAGGCTGGATTACTACACATGAACAATTCTGACTAATACCTCCGTGGCCGTGATGTTTTCTCTCGCCCTGCTCTTCAGCAACAGACTGTCTCAACAGGTCATATTAAAAATAACTCGCAAAAGAAGCTCACAATAGACTACTGTTTTATCAGTGTGCACT